CTTTTTTAAAACCCTGCGAACCGTTCGAGCATTGCAACCAACTTGTTCGGCTATATTTCGGCTTGAACAAGGTTCGCTTGTTTCGACCGCGGCACAAATATTAATTTCCTTGTCGGGAATCACCTTCTCTGCGCCTTCCTTATTGTCACAATTTCTGCACGCCGCAATGCAGCCTGTTTGCTCAAATTTATGGACAATGTTGCGTACAGTTGTGGCACAAGGCACAGGGCGATCTTGAAAGGTGAACACAAAACGCCCAATGACCTCTTCCACACTAGACGAAATGTAAAACCATTTAACGATATGCACCTTCTCTTCGGTCGTATAAATAGCCATTTTTGAAACACTTAACGTACATACCGAAACAGCTAGGCGAAAAGAATGATGCAAAAATAGTTTGGATCTCAGGTGATCTATTTCCTTTCCCCACCCTTTCATCTACATAAAGGTGCGTATTCACTATCCGAACGAACGAATGCTACTATCCAACGAGCGAACGTCCAGTCTTGTTCGCGCGGTTCTATAATTTTCATTCGTTTGCGAACGTCTCTGATATTCCGACTGAAAACGGATGATGGAGCGAACCGAATGGCGAACGGCCGCATGCATTCGGTTTGCTGTCCAAATATACCGAATTTCATTCCTTTGTTCTTTCGGATAGTGAATACGAACCTTAACATAAAGCACCGCCCCTCTCAATGCGTTCTCCCACCATGCTTATGCTTTACCTTGCCCACGCCCGTAAAAACCGGCAACACTGTATCGGTCGCACCGGCTTCTCGCCGGCCCCTTTTGATGCTGTCTCTCTGTCTGTCAACCGGTTATTTATATTATTCTCTGTCTTACACGTTAAAATCCTATACACAGTAATCAAATGACCAGGTCGGTATGTATACTGTATGATTAAGGTTTGTATGTTATGGAGTGATTTTTATACAAAAAAAATTATTATTAATTGAATAAAAGCAAGGTAGTACTACATAACACAATTAAAATATATTTTGCTCTGCAATTTAATGTTATATTTTTAAAACAAATTTCATAATGTTTAAGTATCATCATTATAAAAAAGTTATACTGCTATAAATTTAACATTGAAATAACTCTAATTGTTATAATATAAGTAGCTATAATTTTAACTCGGCAGTATGTAAAACTTCAAATGAATCTTAACTTAAGTACATGCTTACATTATATTGTTTACTTTTTACGAGACTTTTTATTAGTAATTAAATAAAGCAGTAATTACAATATGAAACAAAAAATATTAATTACTATCAATAAATCTATAAAAACTAATCTATTTAAGTCCATGAAAATAACTATATGCATAAACAATATTCTTTATACTAAGATCTATAATTTATTTCAGCTTTTTCTTTTATTGTATTGATTAATATCCCCGATAGTCCTGACTGGTAAAACCACCTGAAGCCATGTCATCCAAATCTATGTATGTACCATAACACTTATTCTTTAAAATAATTATATGTTTCTTTGTTTGATGATAATATATCGTAGATTTATCTAAATTTCTTGCTGCAAAATGTTAAAAACTAAACTATACTAAACATTTTAGGGAGTGATTAGGTATAGATTTTACTTACACTTAGCATCCTTTTTAAAATATATGTATGGCAATTTGCAAGTAAAGTCTTTGTCTTGTTCTAGATTATATTCCTAGAGGTGGCTCTCGGCCTGATCACTGCGACCTTCTCAGATCTATTGTGGATTAAAAATAGATTCTATAAGTTTTCATGAAGTTTTATATACTAATTAAAAATATTCACTGGGGCATAAATACATTCTACCTAACGTGTATTGAATATCGAAGATGTCAGAAAATACATCAAATGGCGGTCTTTTCTTGTAATACACATTTCTTCACTAAATATATCGACCCCTATACATTATTAATAAATTTGTAGCATTTTAGTGGCTTTATAATTATTTTAAAATATGTGGATAATTTTTTTTATTCTGAAATTTACAGCTTCTCAACATTTGACATGACAAATTCAGACAAATATTAGTGTTGGGAAAATTCGAATTAAATAATACGACTAATTCGATAGTAAATTAAAACTAACTAATTCGAATTATCTTTTTCGATATAATCGAGATAAAAATTAGTAGTATTTTATATTATATCTGTGGTAACCGAATTACAAATGAACATAAAACAACCTCTTATGGACGAATACGAATATTAGTAATTAGTATTTAGTATAGTACTATTAGTAGTATTCTTTCGTTCTGAACGAACTGAAAATTTTCACTTAAACTGATTTATAAAGGGAATCGACAAAGAACGGAACGATCCGATATAGAAAAATCCAGAAATCATTGTTATTTCCTATACCACGTAGGAATAAATCAGTTTAAGTGAAAATTTTCATTTCGTTGAGAACGAAAGAATACTATTATTTGGTTCATTTCCATCTCACCCAAATTTCACCGAACACCTGCCGAACACTAAAATTAATTTTCTTCTTTTATCTAAATAATTATTGATTGCAACTGATAAAATAAAAAGAAATACGAACCGCACGTAAACAAGGACATACTTATATCGTTTTAGAAGAAGCTTTTATTTTAGATATGAGCTTTTCAATAGGAATTGAAACAATCATAAACTCGGCACTTTTAAATTTAAAACTTTAAATTATGGTTTAATTTATTAAACGGCTTCGGCACAGTTAATAGAATACATTGAATAAAGAATATTTTTTTTTATATTTTTTATTCAGTGATAGAATATACGTATGGTAATGGTTCAGATTTGTTTAAAATAGCCCCTAGACGAGCACTCGCTGGGACGAATTTATTTTTAGGTTAAATTTATAATACTACTAAATAATTCGAATTATTAATTCGATTGTGAAATATGAATTATTACTAATTATTCGATGGTGAAAATAATTCGATTATTCCCATCATTAACAAATATGACATTTAAACAGTTCTACCACTACAGTTTTTACAGAAAACTCCAAAAATCCGCCATTTTGGCGCCAATAACATTGAACTATGGAGTCTAAAAAGAGGAGGCGAATCGAACGCAAAAATTTTGGGCCCAGATTTCATGATCTAAATGAAGTTCGAAAATCACCGTTAGGGGCGCATGTGATGATAGTACTTCTGCTCACCAGTTAGGAACGGCAATGTCACCACTCGGAACGGCAATGTCAGCATCTTCGGCTTTATTGGTTCCCTGAAAAGATTTTCGTTTATTAATTTTGGGTTTTCTTGCGCTTGCTTTATGATAATTTGTGTTTTCGGTTTTTAACTTTATATCGGTCTGATCGATTATTTGAATTGGTTTAAATTTTGGTTTATCTTTTGCGCGTTCTTTAGTTTGTATATAGGCTGTATTTTGCGATTGAAAATCTGGTGGTTCGGTTCGATTTTCATTTCTTTTGGTGATTATATTTTCTTTTACTTGTTCGTTCACTTCTCTCAGTTTTTCGTATAACTTATTAGATGTTTCCTTATGAAATTGCACATAGGATGAAATAATAGCATTATCATTTAGATCGAAAGGATTTACACTTCTAATATGACCTGTAATAACCTCAAATGGTGTGAATTTGGTAACAGTGTGGATAGAGTTATTATATCCCATAACTGCTCTCTTGATTAGTTGTTGACTGGATAGATCATCTTTTTCGTCTTTCAAACAACGATAACTTTCTATTATTGATGAATGGAAGCGTTCCACAGGTGAGTTAGAGTTGCTGTTTTTAGGAGTTGTAAAGTGTAACTCTATTTTATACAATTTACAAAAATCTTCTAAGTCCTTATTCTTGAACTCTGTGCCTTGATCTGAAGTGATTTTAAGAGGTAATCCATGGTGCGTTATAAATGTATATAAGTTTTCTACTACCTCTGTTCCAGTTATACTCTGTAAAGGATATGCTTGACCGTCTCTGGAGAATGAATCTAAGATTGTTAAATACATATTGTGGTTGATCTTAAAAGTATCTACATGTATATGCTCGAAGGGTCTTGATGCTGTTGGCGTTAAGTTAAACTTGATGACAGGTGGGCTTCGATCATATTTGTTCTTTTGACATACCTCACAATTGTTTATGTAATCTGTTACGTCATCTGACATTCTTGGCCAGTAAAATCTTCTACTAAGAGCCATTCTTGTCTCATTAATACCTCGGTGGCATGTTTTCGTTGTATGGTAAATTTTATTTTTTTCTTTTTAGTCGTTTTCACCCTGTATATCTTCTAGCATGTTAGTACAATGTAGTAATTTAAATGAAGCATTTTTAAAATAAGTTTGCGCTAGTTATACAACGGAAATCTGCTGACGTAATGCCGGTGCCGGATAGTGAGTGCTTAGTGTGCATGTTACGAATCGTCTTGTTTTTCTAACAGACATTATTTGATTCAGACAGATATTTGATTTGAAGTAATTTAGATCTATTAATTTTAACTTGTGTATTTCTAATTTTTTTTGTAACTTTAATGTATAAGTAAAATAAAGCTTTTATAAAAAGAAGATTGTGTCGTCTCGTATTATAAGTGGCGCAGTCGGTAGGATACTCAGATCGTGTCACATCGAGTTGAACGAGTTTGTTTCTACAATTTACTGAGTATTCCGTGGTGATCTCGAACTTTTCGGCAAAAACTGTCCCAGAGTGGTTCTTCGGACATCAAGAAATCCCTTCTATCGTAGAACCGGCGACAAGTTGCAAAGAACGTGAACATCGGAGTATTGGGACCACATCGCCCAATCTCGCAAGGGTAGGTGACCATTGGAGAAGACCAAATTGCTGATCCAACCACCATCCTTATAGAAGAGATGTACAGAGTCTTCGTTTTATTAATGTAAGTGCAATTTAATGACAAATATTGAAGATTTATCTGATTTTTTAAAAAATTTAAGTTTAAGTAATACCTATTTAAGAGACTCTAGTGTAAGTTCAAACTCAAGTAATCTGTCTCACATTAATAATAGCAATATAAATAATAGTAATTTAGTAATTATGAATAACTTTAAGCCTGAATTGCTTAACTGCGTACCAAATTTTGACGGAAATCCCAACGATCTCAATCGATATCTTGCTACATGTCAAAGTTTGATCGATAATTTCTACATAATTACCGAACCCAATAACTTTCAGAATGTTTATCTTTTAAATTGTTTATTTGGAAAACTAAGTGGAAACGCAAAATTAGTAATTAATGTTAGTAACGTTTCTACATGGAAAGAATTAAAAGAAACTCTTTATCGAAATTTTGCTGATCAACGGGATGAAGCCTGTTTGAATCGAGACTTAGTAATGTTACGACAATCGCCTAACGAAAGTCCTAACCAATTTTATGACAAAATTTTACATATTTTAAACCTTTTATGCTCGTTCGTTGATATACACGAGACTGAACAAAATTCGAAAAATTTGAAACGCAAACTATATACTGATCTAGCTTTGAAAACTTATCTTTCGGGTTTAAGAGAACCTTTAGGTACTACCATTAGGTGTATGAGACCTACAGACTTACCCACCGCGTTGCAATATGTAACACAAGAACACAATACCAAATATCTTCAAAATTTTCAAAACATCCCTAAGTTAACAGTGCCAGTTCATAAACCACCATCTTTCCAACCCCGATTATTCCAAATGTCTAAATTTCAACCCCAAAATTTTCGCAATAATTTTCAACCACAATTTTCGCAAAACACCCCAAGGCAACCTTTTAATGCATTTAATATGCACACCCCTTATAACTCTTTTTCAGCACGTCCAAGTTTTCCTTCCCAGCCAATTCCAATTCGACCTAATTTTAATAATATACCACATAGATTTCCAACAAATTCTCAGGTATTTGGAAAGCCTAATCAAAATAGTCAAACCAATGTTTTTAAGCCGAACCCGAACCAACCCTTTCCCAAACCAACCCCTATGAGTATATCGACGAGGCAAACAAGTAATATCAAACCAAACTTTAATAACAACTATCCACCACCACAAAAGTTTGTTTCTGAAGAACTCTGCAATACTCAAATGGAAAATGTCAATCAAATCGACTATGAGGAAAATAATTTTCAAAATTTAGAAAATAACGACGAAAACAATTATTACGAATACGGACAAACAGATATGTCTGAAAATGAAAATTATTCAGAACATCAACAGCAATTTGAACAATATACTCAACCGGACGAAAATTTTCAGGACACCCTGGTAACGAACACGGATACTTAACACCACCAATAATATCCGTAAATACAAATAATGCCAGCGAATTATCTTACATTATTTTCCCTGAACATAACTTAAAAATTTTTAATAGACTCTGGGTCTACAAAATCATTTTTAGATCCACATTTAGCTTCAAAATTTTATTCAAAATTTATTATTAATGACCCATTTATTGTAACAACTGTATTTCAACAGTCAGCCCATAAATTCAGTGTATCGATCCCTGCATCTAAAATTTTTAATTTGCCTAACAACAAAAAATTAAAATTTTATTTATTTAAGTTCCACAATGTTTTCTATGGACTTATAGGATTAGATAAGTTATTACAAGCCAACCTTGATTTCGACACAGGATACCTAGTAAAGCCGTACTCAAAGATCAGATTACTTTTTCACAGAACTAAAAATGAATTAAATTCCATCACTGTGGCTCCACGAACAGAACAAGTTATTGGAATAAAAACAAGTGTAAAACACGGTGATATTTTCATTCCATATCAAAAACTGCAGAATTGTGAAATACCATCCTGTTTATCAGTTGCTAAGAACGGATACGCCGTAACTACAATTTTAAATAAAACCACTAGCAAAAAGTAGATAAGACAAGAGACGACAGTGAACAAAGAAGTCGAATTTCGCGAGAGAGACGCAGATATATTAAAATTTAAAGGTCCCATCAAGTCCCATTTTGTCTGTTGCCAAGTATATTTCTTTGAAAAATTAACAAGATTTTCTGAAAATAAATTAATAATATAAGAAGGATATAAAGTAACGTATGTTAATACGGAAATGTAAATTTTAGTTTAGGTTGGTTTAGGTTCTTTTTCGCAATGTACTGATAATATCAAAGAAACAGAATGACTAAAGTTGGTCGATTTCAAAGATAAACAGATAAAATCTGAAAATCTGACAACTGCGCATTTTATTTATTCGAACCTAAGATTTTAGGACGCTAATCAGCTGTGCTAATCAGGCTTAAACATAAACAAATCTGATTAGTTGTTTTCTTGCATTTTTGCCTTTTTAAAGTGTGTTTTCAGAGTTTTTCGATATATTATCGATTTGAGAGTTTTTAAGGTTTAATTTTAGTATCGTTTTTATAGCATTCTAATTTGTAATTATTGTTAGCAGGAAAAGACGAGATGGTGGCATTGTGTGTGCTTATAAAGACTGCAAAAATAGGTCTTGTTCTTCGACAAAATTAATATTTTACTTTTTTCCAAAGGATCCTGAAAAGTATTTTTATAGAAATATACTATATAATTGCAAGGATTTATTAAATAAAAATTGAGCAACTCTATTTTTTTGATAAACTCCACATTGTGATATTACACTTGTTCAAGTCCATATGTAAAAAAAATACACGTAAATAAAACATTTCTTACAAATCGACTTGGTCACTTTCTCTTGTTTACCAACGATATACAAAATATTGCTTTTATTATCTTTATTCCCCGACAAATATGTTTCTAATTATAATTTATTTTATATAATATTTAGAAAACTCATTTTTTCGTTTCTATTTATCTCTTTACCCACACAGTAACTATTTATAAGCTATACAGGCAAATTTTAATAATAGTCTATTTCAAATTTCCCGCGAAAAAGTTACGAAAATTTAAAGGGACAAGCGAGACGAGGTCACTCTCCCCACCACTCAAACATGAAAGGTACCGCGCGAACTGTCGTCTCTTGTCTTATCTACTCTTTGCCACTAGTCCAGTAGTTTTAGATTTTTCTGAGCCGATCCAAGTCGAAAAATTTAATAAAAAAGATTTAAATAATATTGAATTACATAATTTTGAAAATTTAGACAATTTTGAATTTGATCCTTCGGTAATTCGAACAGATCACTTAAATTTAGAAGAAAAATCTGAAATTATTAATTTGTGTGCTGAATTTTCTGACGTATTTTATTATGAGGACACCCCACTTACATTTTTTACAAATAAAATTAAACATCATATCAAAACATCTGATGAAATACCAGTGTATACCAAGTCATATAGGTACCCGTTTGTTCACAAACGAGAAGTGGAGAGTCAAATTAATAAAATGCTAAATCAGAATATAATCCGCCATAGCAATTCGCCGTGGTCATCTCCAATTTGGGTGGTGCCCAAAAAGTTGGACGCTTCGGGAAATCAAAAATGGCGAGTCGTTATTGATTACCGCAAGCTTAACGAAAAGACCATTGATGACAAATATCCGCTTCCCAATATCACAGATTTACTTGACAAATTAGGGAAATGTCAATACTTCACAACCTTAGATCTAGCGAGCGGATTTCATCAGATTGAGATGAGCGAAAATGATATTTCGAAGACAGCTTTCAATACAGAAAACGGACACTACGAGTTCTTGAGAATACCGTTTGGGTTGAAGAACGCGCCCGCGACATTCCAAAGAATAATGGACAGTATTTTACGAGGTATCCAAAATGAGAAATGTCTCGTATATCTCGCCGACATTATTGTATATTCAACATCATTACAAGAGCATATAGAACGTTTAAGATCTGTTTTTACTAGACTAAGAGAATCAAACTTTAAAATCCAACTTGACAAGAGTGAATTTTTGCGTCGCGAAGTTGCGTACTTAGGCCATATAGTGACACCAGATGGATTCAGGCCTAATCCGGAAAAAATTAAAGCTATCAAGAACTACCCCATACCGAAAACAACCAAACAGATTAAGGAATTTTTAGGACTTCTAGGGTACTACAGAAAATTCATAAATAATTTTGCCAAAATTACGAAACCATTGACGAAATGTCTTAAAAAAGGAGCCAAAATTGAACATAACTTTGAATTTGTAGATTGCTTTGAATATTGTAAAAATAGTTTGACCAACCAACCTATTTTACATTACCCTGACTTCTCTCAGCCCTTCAATCTTACTACCGATGCCAGTAATATGCCTTAGGCGCGGTATTGTCACAGGGTCCGATTGGACAAGACCTTCCAGTCGCATACGCATCACGAACCTTGAATGATTCTGAAACAAATTACTCTACGATAGAGAAAGAATGTCTGTGTCTAGTATGGGCAACGAAATATTTTCGCCCCTATTTATTTGATCGAAAATTTAACATTATCACTGACCATAAGCCTTTGCAATGGCTGTTTTCTCTCAAAGACCCGAGCAGTAAACTCTTGCGTTGGCATATAAAGATGGAAGAATTTGACTACAAGATCATTTACAAGAAAGGCAAACTAAACACCAACGCAGATGCCTTATCCAGAATTGAGATACACACAAAAGATACCAACGACATTTCTGTTTTAAAAGACTATAGAGATAACTCCAACGAGGAGCTTGAAGAAGAACTGCAACGTGAGCAAAATGGCAGAATAGAAGAAAGTATCTTAGATAATGCCTCCATTATAGCACAACCAGATAAGGAACGCGCTGTATTGTCAAGATCTAAACGAGCAAAATAACGATGGAACCATTCATTCGCAAAGAGTCAATCGGTGTTCCCATCCTAGAAACAGCGGTTAATTATGGCGCTAACCAGATAATTTTTTCTAGAGTTCTACACAGTCCTAGTAAAGTAAGAACATTAATTTTGTTCGAAAAGAGAAGACGATTTTTAGTACAACTTTCAGAAAATAATTTTGAAACGGACATTCTAACTTTTGTTAAAGAACATGTTATACCGGACAAGACCTATTTTATATATTTCGAATCTGCAGATATGTATGAACCTTTCTGTGAGGTAATCAGAAAATGTTTCAGATGGCCTTCATTTAAATTTAAAAGATGTCTTACAAAACTAATCGATATAACCGAAAAGGACGAAATTCCCCAAGTAATAAAAAACTACCACGAAAGTAAGACAAATCATAGAGGGATTGACGAAACAGAAAGTAGAATAAAAAGTAAATATTACTGGCCAAATTTGAAAAGCTGTATCCAAACTTTTATTAATCAATGTGAAATATGTCAGCAAAGCAAATATGAAAGAACCCCCATAAATATAAAAATGAATATTACACCCACCGCCTCTAAACCTTTTGAAATTATACATTTAGATACATACACTCTTGAACAAACTAAATTCTTGACAATCATTGACAGCTTTTCAAAATATGCACAGGCATACCCAATAAAGTCTTTAACCGGAATTGAAATTGTAGACAATTTATTATCGTTTTTTTGTCACCATGGTATACCATCAAAAATAGTAGTCGACAACGGAACCGAATTTAAAAACACTGTTGTAACGGAACTTCTGCAGTTACACAAAATTCATGTCCATTTTTGTTCGCCTAACCATCCCCAGTCCAACGGAGTTGTAGAACGATTGCATTGCACCCTATCCGAACATATCCGATTGTTAAATAATCAAAATTTCCAAAACACTACTATCCATGGTACAAAGAATACAAGGTATGATATTGCGCAGGTTGGTCGCTACGTCACAGGTGATAACAGGCGCTATTGGTCAGCACGCTCCGCGCGCCAGTTTAAATCGTCAAGGTATTGTTATAAACCTGTTTTTTTGTTTATATACCGTCATTGAATTATCGCTAAGCAAGTTACTATGGAGCAGTGCGTAAGGAGTTGGGCTAGGAAGCGAGAGACCGGGGTTCGAATCTCGGCGGGACATAACTTTTTTTTTTAAATACTGTTGTATTCTATAGTTTATTTTTGTAGTATAAAAGAAAGAACTATTTATTCTGTTATTTTTTAATCTGCGGTATTAATATAAATTGATTGTTGGTACAATACCTCATTTAATATAAAATAATATTCTACTTTTTGAAATGTATCTGGCCCTAATTGTACCTAAAAGTAATATATTTTTACAGTGATATACCATATTGTAAACTATTTAATATTTCAGTCACTTAAAAAGTTAATTTGCATTGAATAATTGCCTACGATCAAAGGAAATTTGAGCTATATAATCCTTGATGGGCATATTCTGGGTATGCAAATACTTCCTCTAAATTTTGGGTTTCGTTCAACCGATTTATTCTCAAAACCTGAAACAT